CTGCTCTGTCTAAGAAAATATGCTGAAAGTTTTCCCCAGCAGGAAAAGCGGCGGCAGCCAGCGGAGCAAAGTAAAACAAACTCAAAATCAAGGCGCACAGGCTTACAATACACATGTACATATATGCAAGTGTGTGTGTGTGTGTGTGTGTGTGTGTCGGTGTGTGTTCGGCGTTGCTGCTTGGAACTGATGTGTGTGTGTGTGTGTGTGTGTGCCGAGTAAATCAAAAATAACACTCGGAAAAATCCAAAAAAAAAAAAAAGGGAATCGCTCTAAAATTTGGCAATTTCCCCTTTGAAAAGCTGCCTGGGGCAAAATTCGGCCTATTTTCAAAATAGTCGTAATATTCATTAGTTTTTAGTTAGATAATGCAAAAGCTTTCTAAAAATTTCAAAATTTAGCATAAACTGAAATTGAAAATATTTACCAAGACGTTGCAATTAATATTTATTTAGGTTTGGGTTATCTTTTCTAGTTAAGCTGCTTAAATTTGATCAAATTTAGAGACTCTATTTTCTGCATATAGTACATTTATCCAACTTCTAAGATTTTGCAATATTCGTAAGTTTTTGCTATTTTTAAATTTTCAAAATTCGAAGTAATTCAAAAAGTTGCAAAATATTTCCCAAGACGAGCCAAATAATATTTATAAAAATATTATTTTTTATTTATTTTTGCCAGCTTTGAAACTTTCAAAGAAAAAAAACCAATAACATTTTGTTGTTGTATTAAATTAAGGGATTGGGTTTGTTTTAGATGCAAAGTGAAAATATCTCCTATTTAAAATATTATGTTTTATTATTTTTTTCCCCATTATGACACTTAAAAACAAAACACTTTTTTTTTTGGTTTTATCAAATTTCGCGACTCTTTTTGTGAAGTGCACACTTTCTTCAATCTCGTGCAGCTGTATATATATACATACATATACGTGCATATGTGTGTGTGTGTGTGTATATATGTATATATCCAACTTCTAAGATTTTTATTCGAAAAAAAAAAAACCACTAACAAACTACAAGTATTTACAGCCTTCGCGTGTGCGCCGCATGCAGCTCAAATAATTTGTAGCATTTGCTAGCATCTACCCCCCCCCCCCCTTCCACTACATCCCCTTCTCTTACCCCCCGCCCCCCCTCAGACCCCATGGAAGCCATTCGTTTTGTCTAGCAAGTCTCCCCAGAGCAGCGCTAAACAAAACTACAACGAAGACGTCAACGACGCGACGTCGCGCCGATTGTGTTACACTGTCTCTTGGCCTTGCTCTCCCACACACACACACACACACACACACACACGCACACGCACACAATAAAAAATGTCGGCGCACTTGTTGGCATCTCGAAGTCGCCGCGCCGTCTAAGAGTAAAGCGAAGAGAGCGCTGCAAAACGAAAGAAGCTGTTCGCGTAGCATACTTAAAGGCGAGGCGCCCGAGCAGCGACGATTTCGCAGCAGCAGCAGCAGCGGCGGCGGCAGCGGCGGCGGCAGCGGCGGCGCTGCGTGGCGCTACTGGTGGGTACTTTACTTGATGATTATGGCGACGATAATGATGATTGGAATGGCTTTGATGGCGTTGAAAATGAAGATTGCGTGTAGTAGATTTCTTTGTGCTTCTGTGCTGCTGTGCTTGGCCGGTCTCTGCCCCTCCCCCCCTGCCCCCCGTTTGTGTGCGTGTGTCCTGCTTTTTTGCTATTTTGCTGTTGCTTCATTTGGCGCCCTGCTCCTGTGTGCGTGTGCGTGTGTGTGGTTAAGGTAATGCTTACAACTACACACTATCAACATTTGATTTTATTACGCTCATTTGTATGCACACACACACACACACACAAACACATGTCTTGCTGGCGCCCTTAAAATAGTGTGTGTGTGTGTGTGTGGGCGGGTCGATGCTGTCCGCCCGCTCAATTTGGCGCCCATAACCACTAAACTAAATTATAAGAATAGATCCAAGCAACAAGAGAGTTGCCGTCTTCCAACTTTGACCTCCTACTGTGCCGGACGCTGGCATCGCAGCCAGCGCAGGCGTTGGCTGCGACGTTGCCGCGGCAATGAAGGCCACACGGCGACTTTTGCCGGCTGGCTGAGTTCATTTTTTTTTCGTTTTCTTTTCTTTTTCTTCTTTTTTTGCGAGTGTGGCGGTGCCAGGACCAAAACGGGAGTAACGGGAGTAACGGGACCAACTGGGCAAGCCAAATCGCCAGCTTCTTTGAGCAGTTAGTAACTGTTAAGACGTCGTGGTCGTCTCGTCGTCGTCATTCTCGCTTCATTTGTGGGTTGCCCTTCGCTTCGCTTCGCTTCGTTTCGTTTCGTTCTCCTTTCTTGTTCTTGTTCTTGTTCTTGTCTCCATTCTGTTTGTGTTTGCACATTTTGTTGTTTGCCGGCTCGCCTCAGCCATTCGCCGGCAGCAGCAGCCGCAGCCGCAGCAGCAACAATAACAGTTAGTTGGCTTGGACAATCGGACAGCTGGCGGACAGGCCAGGACGTGTTGCTTGTGCTTGCCCTTGTCCGCGTGCTTGTAACGGTTAAGCTAACTGTAACTGTAACTGTAACTGGAACTCTCAATGCGAATGTGATTTGGAATGCGAATGCGAATGTGCATGTAAAAGTAAATGTGAATGGTTATGTGAATTCTGAATGCGAATGTGAATGTGGTTGCTGTGATTTACTAACTGTTTTTTGATGCGGCTTGTCTTGACAGCATTGGCTGCGTGCTGGGCATAGGGCATAGAAGGTGGCGCCATCTATGGCATCTATCTGTCTAGTTAATCTTCTTTCGCAGCCCTTAAACAATAACAACAAATTAAAATTAAAATTAAAAATAGAGTGCATGCACACAAGCATATAAATCCATTCACACACACACGCACACACTCGCACACACTCGCACACACTCGCACACACACGCACACACTCGCACACACTCGCACACACTCGCACACACACGCACACACTCGCACACACACGCACTCGCTGGTGTTTTTTTCGGCTGGGTATTTTTGTGCGTCGCCCCGCAGTCGATTTCCCCTTTTCGACGCCAGTGGGCGGCAGTTCAGCCTCAACCTCAACCTCAAGCTACCCGCCCCCCCCCCCCCCCCGCCTACGCCTGCCCCACACTCTAACTGCACATAGTTGTATTTTGGATTTTTCTCTTTTTTTGTTTTTTGTTGCCCTTTACAATTTGTTGTTGTTGTATTTATTTTTTATTTTTTTAATTTCGTGCCATCGCACGGGGGTTGATTGTGTGTGTGTGTGTGTGTGTGTGTAAGTGTATTTGCGGCAGAGCAGCTGGCGGCGCAGCAGCAGCGGACGCAGCATGCAGCGGGGTTGGTTACGGTTTTCTTTTTTTGCTCACACACATGCAAACACACACACACACACACACACACACACATGCGCGCACACTCTTTTATTTTTGTTGTTTCTGCGTGTTGTTGTTGTTGTTGTTGTTGCTTTTGGTTTTAGCATTTTTCGTTTTTACTTTTTTGTTTTGTTTGCGATTTTCCTTTTGCCGCTGCCGCTGCCGTCGCAGCCTTTTTTTTAACGCCGCACGCAGAAAAAAAAATATAAAATAAAGCTAGTTGTTGCTTTTGCTGGGCGTCGGAGGGGCTGGGGGAGGGGGAGGGGAGGATGAAGGTGGCGAGAGGGCGGCTGCTGCGCTACGACTATGCCGCATGACATAGGCCGCAAAGCAGGGTGGAAGGTGGCAGCCGAAAGAAAGGGTAGCACGGGGCGGGCGGGCGGTCGGAGCGTACGAGCAGCGGGCGGGCAGCGTACGGGCAGCGGACGTGCAGCGGCAATGCCATGGAAATGAGTAATGAGTGTGTTTAGTTTCTCGTGTGTAGTTTAGCGGGTGATTTCGATGGCATCGCAGCCAGCAGCAGCAGCGGACAGCGGCGGCAATTATTGCGTTTCTTTTCCGCTCGCCAGATAAAATGCCGGCCACCGTCGCAGTCGCAGTCGCAGTCACCTTCACCGTCGCAGTCGCAGCGGCCCAATAGAAGCGACGGCTTCAAATCATAGCACAACATTTGGCGCACTCATTAGCGGATCCCGACGTCGCTGCTGACGCTTCCCTCTGTCTTCGCTCTATAAGTGTATGTGTGTGTGTGTGTGTGTGTGTACGTATGTAATGGCTTCAATTGTGTGCTAAATTTTCTATTTCATTGTCGCGCGTCCGTCGAACGACGCCGACTGCGCGCTGCCTCAGCCGAAGCCACAGCATCACCAGCAACAGCAGCAGCAGCAGTCGCCGCAGCAGCAGCAGCGCTTCGCGACGTCGTCTTGCGGCTTCGTGCGACGAAGTCTCTTGCTTCGTGTCGGCTTCGTGCTCTCGCTTAGTCCTTAAGCTGCGGGCAAAGCCGACAACGATAACAACAACAACAACGACGACGACGACGACGACGAACGCGACTCTTTAGCCGCTGTCGCTGCGCTGCCGCAACGCTGCTGCTGCTGCTGCTGCTGCGACGGCGGCGACGGCGGCTGCTGGTGCTGCCGGCTGGCTCGTCCTGTGGCGGCGGCTGCTTTGCCGTTACTTGGCTCACTTCAATTGAGTTGAGTTTTTAAAAATAACGTTAGTTGCTGTTTGTTGCTCGTTACGTGCGCGTGTTGCGACGCGCAACTGAAAACAACCAACAGTAAAAAGCCCAAAACCAAAATCAAATCAGAAACAGAAAACAGTAACAGACAAAATACACGAACAGCAAACAGGCAAAGGACATTCCCAATTGATCAGAAACAACAACAACAACAAATATTATTAAAAAAAATAATATATATAAAAATACAAAATAAGGAGAAATCCAATTTGTGCAAAGCGAACGTTTTTGTTTGTTTATCGCGAATAGTTGAAATTTTTTTTGAATGTGTTTGTTAATGCGAATTTGAAACAGTCGCCTGCGAGCAACAAATGCAATGAATGTGCAATATAATTATTTAAATTGAATAACAATCTAATTGAGTCCAAATAGTAAATCGAAGTTAATCCTGGTTTTCCTAGGAAGACAACGAATGCGCCTGGTCCAGTGATTGAAAACAACAACAAAACCCAAAACCCAAAACCCGCGAATTTCAACTAAACTCCAAATAGTCGCACACACACACAAGCGAAAGCGAAAGTGAGTGCAGCTCCAGCACCTAAGGCGACCAAGAGAACGAAGGTTACGGGAACGGAAACGGAAACGGGAACGGGAACAAGGAGAACAAGGAGAACAACGATAACAAAGTGCAATCCGCAACAGGAAACTGAAAGCGCCTTTCACCGGGGCACACAAACATGTAAGTCCTACATTAGGCTAGGATAGATCAGATCAGATCCCAAAATTGATCCCACATATGTATGATACGCATGTAAATGATAAGTATATATTCTTGACACGTTGCCCTCCTAATATTCACAGTGTTTTTAATGTAAGCCCGAAAGAAAGTTGGATCACGGTTTGAACCAGCACCCTGCCTTGAGGTTTAGTTCGAGAAGCCATTCTTTAACCCAGATTTCAATATAATATGCGTAAAAGTGGAACACACAAATATAGCACATATATCCTTTATCCCAAAATGATTTGCTGTGCATCTCATGTAAGCCCAAAAACAAATATCGCTGGTTCGGTTCTCGGTTCGAACCAGCACCCTGCCCTGTCGAGAAGCCATTCTTAAGCCCAGGTTTAAGTATAATATGCTTAAAAGTGGAATAGAAATATAAGATATATATCCTTGATCGGGCCCTGTTTTATTTGCTGTGCATCTCATGTAATGTTGTACGGTTTGAACCAGCACCCTCCCCTTAGGGTTCGGTTCGTGAGCCTAGTTTCTCACATTCTTTAATATCCGAGTCAATATAGCCATGTCCGATCGATCTCACAAACTATAACAACTAAAAACTAGAAACTTTCTTTCAATATATCCACCTATTTTCATATTTTCCATGACTGTGGATTTTGAAACTGGTTTTTCTTTTAGCATAACTCAAAAAAAATAAGAGCTAGATAGGCCAAACTTGGTATGCAGGTTTTCGTAATACATATAAGGACGGTATTTCGGGAAATTCCAACCGCATGTGTGGAAAAGTCGCGAAAAACTTTGGTATGAAAGTTTTCTAGCTAAGCTTATTGTGAGAATTTATATGATGCGTTCTTGGGTGGCAAAAGCGTGTTAAGGGTTTAATAAACGAAAGTTGATTCTTCAGTTTCAAGATTCCCACTAACATGGCCGGAAACCGTTGACTCCAACACTTGGTTCTTTATTCGATGCACCTAAAACATATTTTTGAACAAAAGTCGATTTCCATTGTCCACGGGCGTGTACTTAGTGGAAAGATAAAATTCTTAAAACAAAACCTTGGACGGGCAAGGCCGGGCAATACCCGCTAGTATATATATTTACAGATTTCACTTTTCTGAGTGCCTCCTCTTGAATAATCGCACAAAATCGCACGAAATATATTATTAAAGGTAGAACCTTACGCTTTAGTCTGCAAAATTGTAGTCCCTAAATTTCAAAAAGATCGGACTATAAAAGCCGAAGCCATATATTCATGAATACATTCGAGTACTTTTAATTGTTTCCTCTTGGCGAAAGCAATAAAAAATCTTACTACAGTCAAAATTCCCCCTTACGGACATCTCTATTAGGCGGACATGCCTCGTGGGCGGGATTTTGTTTTTTCAAACCTTTTTATTTTAATTGTTTTCAAACAGTTTAAATATATATTTTTTAATAACCGCGATTGAACAAAATTCAAAGCATAAGCTGGAAATTGATTATATGAGTTAAAGTTAAAGTAATTAACGGGACCAAGGACATAGATGCCATACTTAAGTTCATCTAAAGGTTCTTCAAATACGCTCGAATAGAAATTTATTAATATGTAGAAAGCAGAATAGACTTTTGGAAGAGAAACTATGTACCAGTTTAGCTGTGAACTGTGTTAAGTAATTTCTCCTCACTCTTTATAAAGAATCTGGTAGAATTTTAGTCAACTTGCTGTAGAGATCGTAGAGATAAACCATTCGCCAATACACTGAGCATGAACTGGATGACTCTGCCTTTCCTCTTTCTTCAACCTCTTCCGTTCTTGGAAGTTGGTCAAATACTGAGCTTACTTCCTCTTTCACCTGTCCAGCAGGAGTGTCGAAGGAGAAACTTTACTCAATTAATACATTTGGAACATTATAATTAAATTTCAAGGCGACACAAATTTGGCTCGATCGACCGTATCGGTAAAACTAATGCTCAATTGATTTTGCGTTATTTTACGTATTGTTCTATGCAAAACCTCATAAATATGTAATATGTATCTACAATTTTGATCTCTCTAATACCCTGATTCCATTACATTAACATTTATGTTACATTTACAAGCTTCACATTTTGCGATTCCATTAGCGAGTGTCAGTTTTCGGTAACATGTGAATGGCAAAAGTAGCGCTTCTTTGATGAGATTTACCTAAGCGACGCAAAGTATTCCTTCCTCCATTTAATGGACTTTTTGGCCATCTTCAAATATTATAAACTGTGCAATTAATAAAATTTAAAATTATAATTTTAAGTTAACGTCAGCTTTTTATGGCAATGATACTTTTATATTTTCCATAACTTCGATACGAAATTCGGGGACAACATTTCTTGTAAATGTAAAAAATGTGAAGAAACGTACAGGCAACATTTTACACATTAGCTGAAAATGTAAGAAATGTCGACAGTGGAATTAGGCTAACATTTTTTGTAAATGTGAAAAATGTGAAGAAACGTACAGGCAACATTTTACACATTAGCTGAAAATGTAAGAAATGTCGACAGTGGAATTAGGCTATAACATGTCTATCAATAAAAAGTTAATTTAGCAAGAAAATTAGTAATTGGGGAGGGGCACTCCTTAGGTTCCGTTCTACCAGCTTAATCAAAGATAATGAAAATGCCTAGAGGTCACAAAACGATTGCAATAGCCGAAGTTTGAGTAGATGAGCTAATCTTGAAGCCAGAACATCTGATAATAAGCAACAGTAGAGGGGGGAAGGGGGAAGGGGGAAGGGGACGATCGCAATTGTCGTGTCTCGCGCTTAGTCACGAGACAAATACTAGGTGCAACTGGGAGTGCAGAAGCAGCGGCAGAGGCAGAGGCAGAGGCAGGAGCGCAAGCGAATAGCGCGTAAAGTCGATGAACTTTGCCGAACGTTGAACGTTTTTGGGCTGTTGTTTTTTTTTGCATTCGCAAGATTATCAATGCGTGTGTGTGTGTGTGTGAGTGTCTACTGTAAACGACTACAACGAATGCATATCTAATGCCCAAACTGAGCGAGAGAGAGAGTGGGAGAGAGTGGGAGAGTCAGAGTCGAGAGCGTGAGCTGAAAGACATTACGTATACGCCGCATATTTAGCGGCGGCTTTTGTTATTTGCCTTTTTTGAGAGCCACAGCGCGGTCAATGGACGGCGCGCTTATTAGGCCTTCACAGGCGAACTGAGTGTGTGTGCATCTGTGTGTGTATGTGTGTGTGTGTGTGTGTGTGCGTCGGTGTCGGTAACCCAATGCAATCTACAACAATTAGAACAAACAGCAGCGGGTTCATTGCGATCGCATTGCGATCATTGTCATTGTTATTGTCATTGTCATTGTTATTGTTGTTGTTGTTGTTGAAGTTTTTTTAGCGAGGTCATGCAAAGGGTTAATGTTAATAGCAGCTCATCAGCCGATTAGCTGTCAAAAATAGGAAGGGAAACGCGAAGGCTATTTCAATTTTGAGCTTTTAGTTTTGTGTCGTTTCACGTATGTATATCTGGCATGAGCTGTATTTAAAAGAGAAATATATGTAAATAACGAAAAAAGTGTTGAGTGCAGCTCGAAATAGTGGCCAGATTTCATTCAAGCCGCGCTGGCGGCATCTCCCAAGACACAAAAGGTCAAAACAAGTGCCCGAAAAAAGCCATGGCAAACAGCGCAATAAAAAAAAAGCATAAAAAACTGTTTAAAGAAAAGAGCAGAAAAAATATGCGTATTCTGGAAAAAATTGGCAACACAAGTGCGAGACAAGCACAATTAAAAAATTAAATCGCCACGCATGAAAACAACATGACTGAAACGAAAAAAAACGAAAAAAAACACAAAAAAAAATTGAGTTCAGCAAACACAGACGACAGACATCACACAATAAGTACAAAGACGGGATAGCCTCAGTTGCATCAAAAAAAAAAGTATTATATAAATACAAAAAAACAGCGAAAATGGCACAAAAACAGTTGCAATTCGCAACTAGTTCCAGACAGGGTCACACTGAACGTGAGGTGACTAGAGGGAAGGGAGGGGTGGAAGCACAAAGCCAAATTCAAAACAATCGCAAAATGCATTTGCAATTCGCAACTAGTTTTTGGGGGGAGGGGGAGTAAAGTCAAATTCAATTTCAATTTATTTTAGGCCTCGAATTAGGTTAGGCTCTAAAGCCGCACACACACACACGCACACACATGTACAGTGCGCTGCGATGCGATAACCAATCCGCAATCGGCAATCGACATCAGCAGAAATTCAGAAACTGCAAATTGCGAGTGCATACACACACACAAATGCATTCAGTATATATATGTACATATGTGCATGTATATATATACATATATATATATTCGTACATATGTACACGAGCCGAAAACAGGGCCAAAGAATTTGGTGGGCTTTGTAAAATGCGAACAAAATGTGGGCTACAACTTTCAATTGGCGACGATTTCAACAACCTCAAAAAAAGAAATGAAAAAAAAAAACAGAATACGAACAGCGAAAAACGAAAGCCGAAAACGAAGCTGATAAACGCTTTGATATGCCCGTTGATCGTTGTATTCTATGTTTGTATATACACATGCATATATATGTACATATACATACATATGCCATGTCTCTTTCGCACACATACGCACGTCTTTGGCGTTTATGGGGCGCTGCTGCACACACACCAACACAGTGAAAGTCGTGCAGCGCTGCAAGTGCGCCGCTTTCTTGCTGTTGTTGTTGTTGTTGTTGTTGTAGCGACGAATCTGCAATGAACTCAATTCGCCGCAGAGCAAAGGCAAACATTTTTAGCTGCAACTGTTCCTCAACAACAACACACACATGCAAATAATTGTCAACAATGCACAACAAATTTGTGCCTGTGTGCGCGTGTGTGTGTGTGTGTTTGGTGTGTGTTTTGTTATTGTTGTATATTCAACATTGAGTGTTAACATTTTGCCCAATTTCTGGCAGGAAAAAATAAATTTAAGTACAAGAAAAAGGCCACAAAGCAGCAGCAAAGCA